TTTGTGGAAGAACCGTAACAGATATCTGTGAAATTTCAAAACGTGAAGCATGTCAAGGAAGTTGAGTATCTGAAGTGTAACTTTTGGGTTAATAATGTGGCCTTTTTGGCAGTGTAACTAAAGGTGTGCGGCTGCTACCGTGAGGAAATATCTGCCTGAAATTACAATGGGCTTTAATGGAGGCATGTTGAACGTTTTTGTCACTTCATGCCCTCAAGAGGCATTTTGTTTAATTATTTTTGCCTAATTATTTGTCATTGTTCAAGCTACGAGATGTTTTCCTACGTTTGTCATAATAAATTATGTCTCAGGAATGTAGGGTTTGGGAATTAAGGCAGTTTGAAAAAAAATATGAAGGCAAATTTCAAGATTTCCTACCCTTTAGCTGTGACATCACGCACTCTAGTTCATGTTAAAATCTGAAGAAAACCTCTAAAACAAGGTCTGAAGAATGTTTAATATCTCTAAAAGTAAGAATCAGATTTAAAAGTTGTTTTACACAAATAATGTCAGAAAGATGCATAACATTTTAAAGTTGGAATGAGGTTTCTGAGTGAAATTATGAATGAACAGTTAGCAGTTGAAGTCGCATGAAGATTTGTTTTTGAAGATTTTCTCCATTGACTTCAATGTTAAAAATATGATGTATTATGGGATGCATCTCTGGAATTATGAAAGTTATGAATGAGAAAAGTAATAGTCATCGATTCCCGACCGAGCTGAACGTTTTGATGTTTGAACGGAGTTTTTGCGATGTTCAAATGCGGGAGGAGAAGCGCGGCAAAATACCGGCGGAATAATAATAAACTTTTAGTCCGTAGAATAACAGTTAGTTGGAATGCTGTTAACAGCATTCCCACTAAATTATTACAATTCTGCACATGTGAAGTTTCCATTTACAATAATCTGAATTTTCTCTGCCCTCACAGTGTTAAGCTGCTTGGACAAGGGAAATTGCTCTCTGTTTTAAGTTGCATTTCCATTATTTTTTAAGCTTTAAACACACAAGGCGATATGAGGAGAGGTTCAGCACAAGGTAAAGCAACACAATAAGACGCCAAACTTCCTGTCCAACTCCGAAAAGCTGGACTTGAGCAGAGCTGACAGAAGGTCTCGCCCCTCTCTCTGCTTTTGGGCGGAACCTCAGTCCTTCTGCAGAGAGGGAGTGAAGGATGCTGGGAGGCAGCTGTAATCTCTGAACTCCTGTTACTGAGGATTCTGGGACCAAACCGGGCCAGCTGTGTTCTGCCTGACCCAAGCAACAACCATCCATCCTCATCAGGCCCCCTCACCTGAGACAACTCCCCTCTCAGCCTGTCAGCCTCTTCACTCCCCTTTATTCTCCCCTACTGTGTCTATTGTCTTTCATCCATTCATCACTCACAACCCATATATTCCTCTCATCCTCTGCACAGCGGGCCATAACTACCTGGCTCTCCGACCTATTTCCACACAGAACCCATTACCCCACCCCTTTTTTATCTTCATCCGCCAATTCAATCCATCCAGTGAGCCATCCAGACAAATATTCAGCGCCTGCTTGCCTTTTTCTATTTCAGCCCATCACAGGGTTCCATCGCCACTCTGAAGCAGGATTATCGTCAGAAAGATGTTTCGCCCGTGTGGGTTGAAGCACACAGAGCTATAAAGCGTTTCCATCTCTACAAAAGCCAACAGTGGATGGTTAATTTTTTTTTTTTCACACCTTAAGGCACAAACAGCCCACGCCCCGCTGTTGAACACCATAAGCGGGATTGCATAAGGGCCATAACTAGCAGAGAGGAGGCTGGGGGATATTCGCCGCTCTGGAGAATGGAGGAGGATAAGGCAGGAGATACCCACCCCAACATCTTCTCTGCTTCATTGGCTTCCCACGACTGGCTCAGTATCAGCCCACTATCAGCCTGGAGAGGGAAAGATTGGTGGTGGCTCAGAGGAGGAGGAGGAGGACTGAGAGAAAGACCACTGGCTGATTAGGGGAAGTGACTGAGAGAGGAGGAAGAGTGAGATGGTGGAAAGGTTAGGGGGAGAGAGGGAGCAGAGAAATATTCCTTCCCTCTGGCCATAGTCCTGATGAAGCCAGGATAGAGATGTCAGGCCACATCCTCTCTGCCGGGGAAAGGGGGGGGGAGGCGGGATCAAGCAGCAGACAATTAGACCTCAAACCACAGGCCAGTATTCCATCGCAGCACTTCTCCTTCTATCTTCCTCTTTTGTCTCACTTTACATCACCCCCCCCCCCCCCCCTCCTTCTGAGAAGCCCCAGGGCTATAGGGCTATCCGGTACCAGCACTTCATTTTCCTCTGTTTCCACAGGTTTCCCGAAGGCCGATCGAGTGTCTCTCCCCGGACCGGAGGGATGGAATACGGTTTCGACCTCGCAAGGTCACCGAGCTGGCTTCCATCAGATGAAACCCTAAACCTTCCATTTGCCTCCTTCTGTCCCTCTTTATCTCCTCTACTTTAGCCAAAGCACTTTACTTGCTTTCGGCCCAATGACACGCAATTATCTTCACTTTCCGCAAATCATACACATTTCCACCGGCTTGATCGCTACTGCATATGCCATTTTCTGTCATTTCGCTGAAAGCGTGCTATACTCCAAGGGTGACCTTGTGAGGTCAGATAAAACAAATACACTTTTCTTTGTTGAAGGCAAAGCTTTTTTTCCGTGATTGTTTGACAGAGAAGCCCAGATAATCGTTCATCTCAGCACTTCGATGCTTTTTAAGTTGATTTGTGAACCATGATGTAATCCCCTTAGAAAATAGGCGTTATTTATTTTGTTAAATAGCCGTAAATAGGAGTAATATATATTGTTTTGCTTAATAACCATTAAAGCTTTCCTACTCACCATTCATCTCAGCGTTTTTTCCACTCTCTTTCATGCTGGGTAAACAGTTTTCCAGGTAAACTCCATTGTGATAGCAGCTATCCCCCTCACTGAGCAGCGGTGGGGGCTCCCAGCAGGTACAGGGGGTCTGCATGATGCCACAGGGCCTGCTGGAGGTGCTGGAGGCCAGGCAGTCCTCCAGCCACTGGCACAGCATCTGACAGGCCGCCATGCTGGGGTTTCGCTTCCCGACCACCAGGTACTCAGTTTTGAAATCCCCATCACCATCCTTCATGGTCTTTCCCGCCCGAGGAAGACCCTTCCTCATCTGGAGGAACTGCTTTCCCGCTTCCAGGAATGCCACGGGGGCCGAGGCGTCGCACAGCTTCACCACCTCGTCAAAGCTCTCCATGCCCAGGTAGGTGCGCGTTGTTTCCAGGAAGGACTCGTACTGGAAGGTGCGCAGCTGTGACGGCACACAGTGCTCCGTAGGTTTGGTGACCTTGAGGAAGATGGTGTAGCGCCGTGGGTCGGGGTTCTGCAGAGTCCAGGAGCAGGGCATGCTGGGCAACGCTGACGATGACAGGAAGAAGCCGAAAAAGCGGCCCTGGACTAGGGTGGAGCAAGAGTCAGACTCCGGGCCTGAGGGGGCCGCGTAGCAGCAACCCTCCATCAGCAGCAGAGGGGCCAGATACAGGAGCAGGGCCAGGAGGGGCCATCTGGAGGGGCCGCTAATTTGAGAAACAACACTTCTCATGGTGCACAGATGAAGGGGGGGGGGGAGGTATCACAGGGTGGTGGCTGCTTTCTGACTTTGGAGGACTCTACTGCCAGCTCTGCAGGGCACAGGAAGAATAGAGGGTGTAGAGGAACAGGTTGAGGGGGGGGTAGGTGCTCTCAGAGGTCCAGTGATCGGCCCATGGCTGCATCGGTCAAACCGAGATTCACAAGAACCTGCGAAATGAAAGAGACAGACATTGAATTAGAGTTTGTATCTCATCAGACGACAGAACGGTATTACACTGATTCTCTTAATCTCTGCAAATCAGCTGGTATTATTTGCTCTGTAAACCCACAGCAGCCACTGGAGAACAACAGGAAGATGAAGCAGATGGAGGCAGACAGACAGCAGTTGAGTTAAGTTTTTCTTCTCTGTGCGAGTTCAGATTGGTCTTCTCCTGAGAGAATGTCTGCTCACAGATTGCATCTGCTAGCTTAATTGGTCCAATTACAAGACTATTAATTACCAAAGCACAACACCTGCAGCCATTCATTACTCCAATGTATCAGGGGTGAGACAACACCATGATCAATAGTCCTTTCTGTTTTTGCTTATTAAAGCCAAAATAATGAGAAGATGTCTTGCTTTAAATACAGATTCATAACTTACTGTAGCTGTTTATTTAGTGATTTATCTGGTTTCCTGTATTACACAGCTCTTGGACATTACATGAAGGGCTGCTTCCCGAAGAGCACTTTTGCTGATTGAAGCTATAATTCATGTTTTTTTATTTAAAACGCTATGACGCACAAAATAGTTTTACGATAAACAGTATAATTACAACAACAACGCTTTACAACATAATAATAACAAAATACACACTTTCTGTTTGGTCTTGTAGTGAGCGAAAGATAATGTAATACAAAATTATGTATACTAAAAATAAAGCAGATTGATTAGTGCAGATATGAACTAAAAAGAACAGAATATAATGAGAAGCAGGATAAATGATCTTCACAGCTAAAAAGCTCAAGTTTGGGGAAATGAGAAGAAAAGCTCATTTGACTTGAACATAGGTGTATATGAAAGGAAATGAAAGAGGTCACTCACATTGTTCTGTCTACAGCGCTTTGTGGCCATTAGCTGTGTGGAGAATTAGAACCCTTGTATCCTGTTCTTAACTTGCAATAGAGTACAAATAAACAAATGTAGATCTGTGCAGTGGGTATGTCAATTAACTACAGGGGTCCCTCAGGGCTCTGTTCTTGGTCCCCTCCTCTTCTCCTTGTACACAAACTCGCTCGGGTCTGTCATTAGCCCGCATGGTTTTTCATACCACTGCTACGCTGACGACACCCAACTAATTATGTCCTTTCCCCGCTCAGAGACCCAGGTCGTCGCACGCATCTCTGCTTGCCTAGCAGACATCTC